AGAGAGAGAGGAGGGAGAGAAAGAAAGAGGAGAGAGAACGAAGGAGAGAGAGCACGCGAAGAGAGAGATATAGAGGCAAGACAGACCGACGACAGAGACATAGCCAAACAGAGACAAAGAGAGAGAGACACGAGAAAACAGACATCAGACAGTCACCAGAGACAGAGAGTTCGAGGAAGCGAGAGAGAGCGAAAGAGAGATAATGAGAAAGAGAGAGAAAAAGGACTGGGTCGTTTATCCTTAGAATCAACGTCACCGATAGGTCACGGCGACCTCGTGGCTTGCGTGCGAGCAGACAGAGAGACAGAGAGAGAGATACTAGCTATCATAGAGACAGAGAGATAGATATTCGCAAGACGCGAGGAAGAGAGAGAGAGGATACGAGAGACAGAGTCGAGTGTAGTTAGAGTAGAGGGAGGGAGAGAGCCGTGAGAGGAGAATGATAGGCGAGAGAGAGAGATGAGGCGATATATCTAGAGATGTCTACTAGCCTCGATATATGATATACTAGAGTATAGAGTACGAGTCTCTTTGCTTCTCTCTATTTCTTTCTCTAGATCTCTACTATCACTGCATCTCTCTGCTCTCTCTATCTCTCTCTTACTTCCTACTCTATATATAGTATTACGCTATATATACAGGCGAGTGACGATGACTCGCTCGGCTTCGCTACTCATCTGTCGTCGCGCTCTCTCTCCTGCTATCTATCCTCTCTCCTCACTCGCCTCTATCGCATAGCTATTACGACTATAGCTATCTCACTGAACCTTTCATATATACGCTCTGCTATATCCTATACTAAGCTACGAGAGAGATACTATCATCTTTATATATTCTCTCTCTACTTAGACGAGCAGACCTTCATATACTCGCATCTCTCTCTATATCTCCCTCTCTCTCCTCTCTATATCTATGTTTTTCTTTTCCTTCTCTCTCTCTCCCTATCCCTTTCTCTCATCTCTCTCTCTCTCTCTCAATCTTTTTGTTTTTCCTTATCTCTCTCTCCCTCTCCCTTTCTTCTCTCTCTTTCTCCTCTCTCTCTATCTCTCTCTCTCTTCTCTTCTCTCTCTCATCTCAGCTCTCTCTCTCTCTCTCTCTCTTCTCTTTCTTCTCTCTCTATTATATCCTTCACCCACCTCTCTTTACCCTTCCTCCTCTCTCTTTTCCTCTCTTCCTCTATACTCTCCCTCTCTATCTGCGTCACGGAGAGAGAACAAAGACACAGAAACACAGATAATTTTTTCCCCTCCCCCCCTCCAAAACCTCCTGCTCTCTCTCCTCCCTCCCTCTTTCCTTCCTCTTTCCCTTCCGTCCTTCTCTCTCACCTACCCCTCCTCCCTCCCTCCTCCTCCCTCCCTCTCCCTCCCTCCCTCCAGCTCTCCTCCCATCCTCCCTCCCTCCCATCTTCCCTCTCTCCCTCCCTCTCCCTCCCTCCATCCATCTCCCTCCCTCCCATCCTTCCTCTCTCCCTCCCTCCCTCCCTCCCATCCTCCCTCTCTCCCTCCCTTCTCCTCCCTCCCTCTCTCTCCCTCCTTCCTCCCCCCAAACAGGATGCCATGGCGTGACGTCACAGACTGGCATATTCATTGAGGCTCGTCTGTCATCAATAAGACGCGGATTGCACATATTAAACAAGCAGGAGAGGGAGGAAGGAGGGAGGAAGGAGAGGAGGTGGGAAAGGATGAGGGAGGAAGGAGGGAGGAAGAAGAGAGAAAGAGAGAAAGATAGAGAAGCAGAGGAGAGAGAGAGATAGAGAAGGAAGAGAGGAGAGAGGAGGAGAGAGAAAGAAAGAGAGAGAGAGAAAAGAGAGAGAGAGAGCGAGCAAGCGAGAAGAGAGAGAGAGGAGAGAGAAGAGAGGAGAGAGAGAGAGAGAGAGAGAGAGAGAGAGAGAGAGAAGAGAGATGGGAGAGTTTGAGAATGTCTGCCGCTCTGTTCCGGGAAATACTGTGACGCACAACTTTTCATACGTGTTAATACACGATTACGGAAACTTTTCCTTTTTTTTATCTGTGGAGCTTGCAGTGTGAACATTGCAGCTGCATTATAAAGAACATTTTTAAATGATGTTGGCAATGATGATGTTATTAATAATGGTTATGATGATGATGATAAAAATAATGTTGATAATAATAATGAGTATAATATCAACAATAATACTGCTGATGATGACGATGGTGGTGATGGTGATAACAGCAACAACAACAACAACAATAATAATAATAATAATAATAATAATAATAATAATAATAATAATAATGATAATAATAATGATAATAATAATGATAATAATAATGATAATAATAATGATAATAATAATGATAATAATAATGATAATAATAATGATAATAATAATGATAATAATAATGATAATAATAATGATAATAATAATGATAATAATAATGATAATAATAATGATAATAATAATGATAATAATAATGATAATAATAATGATAATAATAATGATAATAATAATGATAATAATAATGATAATAATAATGAT